GGGAAAAGTTGCACAGCGATAAATTGACGACAACCAAAGCCTGCCGATGTGTGCTTGGATGTCTCGACTGCAGCCCCTTCCGTGCTACTGCAAACCTTGCGTGTGTGAACACCTCATCGCCAAATCCATACGTTTCAAGTCCGGGTCCACAAAAACAAAATCGGGGTATGCCACGCGACTCTCTCTCTCTCTCTCTCTCTCTCTCTCTCTCTCTCTCTCTCTCTCTCTCTCTCTCTCTCTCTCTCTCTCTCTCTCCCTCCCTCCCTCTCTGTCCCTCCCTCTCTCTCTCTCTGTCCCTCCCTCTCGCCTGCATCGTGTACCACTTCCTGTCGATGGTGATAACCGCCGTCTTGGTCCGGTGGCGATCACCCAGAGCCTTGTACCTCACCGACACACGCGCCCCGTCCGCATGCCTGGACATAAAAAACAATCAGAGTTTTGAGTTTTTCACTTTACATCCGTTCCATATTGACAATCCGAGCTTTGATCTTTTACTTTGCATCCGTTTCATACTGACAATCCGAGCTTTGATCTTTTACTTTGCATCCGTTTCATACTGACAATCCGAGCTAGAGGTTTACGCTTTGCACCCGCTTCATACAGTAGCACGGGCGGCGGGCAGCGGAAAGCCAGGGGGACAAAGGTCAGCACTGAAAACATACCACGAGGACACAAAACAACAACCGAGGAATGACAGTCCCGGGATGTTGACAGTCCCGTCTGTCTCCGGCCGTATCGTCCGGCATGACATGCTTGCAAAGAACGGACGCAGTCACCCCGAGACTTGTTTCTTATGTGTAACACAACAAATGCTCATCTCTTCCACAGACAAAAAAGAGTCTGGGACAGAATTACGGTGAATTCCAAGCATCAGCAGAAGTTAACCGCCGTGCACTTGCCAGAAGAAGCGTGCGCGATACAACCTAAACATCACCCTCACGAGACAATTATCAGGTGAGGGTTTTCCTCGACGGCAGGAAGGGTGTTATGGTAGAAAAGGGGACACCTTTTCACGGCCATTCGCGTTGCCACTAACGGATGAAAAGTGATAGGTGCCATGAGGCGTCGTTCAGGCACCGGGATTGAAAGGATAACCGATGCAGGGAGGGTTGCGCGTCGTCGTACTGCTACGAGCGTCTCGAGAATGAAACCCCGTGACCAGGCCGACCAAGCACGAGTGAGAACAGTAGGTCCTTCCAAGGAGCACAAAAAAAAAAGACAAAACACAAAAAAATGGACAAAAACCAAGCACAAGAAAGGAAATGTTAAGCGTGTCTGCCTTCCCTCCTCTTTGCTCTCTTGACTTGCACATGCGCCGTTGTGTTGCCCGCGTGAGCTAAACACCGGCTCATCGCCAGAAGAAAACCACTTGTTCAAAGGACGAATACAACGCCTTCTAAGCCGCAAAAGCAAAAAACAAAAAACAAAAAATGAAAAAATGAAAATTGTAAAAGCGTGTCTGCCTAGTTCTCCCTGTCCGTCAGCCTCACTTGCACAAGGCGGCCTCGCACGCATCGAGGTCCGGTGTGGGGTCGGAGCCGATGGACGTGATGAGGCACTGGCTCGAGATCCACGCCCGTTCGAGCATGTAACCGGCCTGGCACGTGAAGCCCCAAAAGAGGAGGAACAAACAGCACGCAGGGGCAAGCGGGCCGGCGTGGCGTCGGACGAAGCAGCAGCAGCAGCAGGTGGTGGTGGTGGTCGTCGTCGTCGTCGTGAACAGAAAAGGTGAACGCGCGTGCCCGTGCCACCGTCTCGAGACGGGAGGAGAGCATGTCTCACACGAAAAAGGGTGAGGGTGTTATTCGGCATCATGCAATCGCCACCGCCGCTTAACCGGGTCATTGGTCTTCGAGGTACAGGTGTCGGAGTTTTCACCGGCTAAATTGGCAGGGAGGGGCAGCAATGCCTGTGTGCGAGTGCGGGTGTGTGTGTCTCATGCCTTTTGAGAGCCAGGCCGAGGTAGCTTTGGCTGGCTAAGTTCTACTTCCATCAATTTTGTTGGTTAGTTGGCCTGTGACAACGTAAGGCACTGATATTACAAGGTACTGAAGAGCATAGATCGGAACGGTTTTCAATGTGAGGAGCAACAAATCAAAGCAAGTCTCGGACCCAAACACAACCACGGCAACGCTGACTAAGCAACCAAATATCCGTATCAGCTGTCGTCGAAACTACTACTCTTGCCGCCGCCGCCGCCGCCGTCCCCGCGTCGCCGACTGAAAACAGTCTGAGCGTTTAGACAGCCCTGTCCTGAACGTGCGTACAACACACACGTGAAATCTAACCTGTGCGAGGTAGACCCCCTCCACGGGGAGGTTGTAGTTCCTGGCCTGCTGGTAGCTCAGTGGGTGGAGCACGCTCGAGCTCACGTCCAGGTACTCGGCCGGGGTGATGGCGTGCAAGTCCCTATCGCCGCGGAGCGGAGGAACAAGCAAGCGGGTGGACAAAAAACAACAACAATACAAGACGGAGAGAGGGACGGGGGAGAGGGGGACAGAGAAAGGGTTTACACGGAGAGTCGCACAGAGACGCCAAGCGGGGAGACACACAGCGGTACGAAGCCGACGTCGCATGACAGGACTTCAGCTTCGTAACACTAGAGCAACACTAGAGCACCTGCACACCGCCGCTTGCTCTAACGCCTGGCTGCGGTTCAGCGACTTCGTCTCGTCGGTCTACTTAATTTTAATTACTATCTCTTCATTTGAAAAGTTAAGAACGAAGCCCGTGTATTTGATGGGTGAGACACAAGAGACAATAAAAAAATAGAGGACTCTCACCCGACCGTCAGTCAACCGTGGGTGGAACAAAAAAAAGCAGCGCATATTTCTTTCCGAACAGTCCCGGCGCTGTTTTCCCTCTCTTTTCATTTCCATACGCCGGTTTCCATACACAAGCATGAGGCGCGATCGACCAAAAAAAAAATGAAGGCCTTTCTGTTTTCGTACGAGCGAGACAAAAAAGAGACAAGATCAACAAGGGGGGACTCTCTCACTCGACCGCCCAACCGTGGGCGGAATAAAAAAAGCAACATACACTTTTAAGGTAGTTGTTTCCGAACAACCCCGGCTGTTTTCTCTTTTCTTTTTCCAAAATGCCGGCGAAACGCACAGGCGTGAGGACACGATCGACAAAAAAGAAAACGAACGAAGGCCTTTCTATTTTTGGCATGAGTGACACAGTAGGGGCAAGAACAACAAGAAGAGGAGACTCTCACCCGACTGCCATTCAACTGTGGGCGCAGGTAAAAACAAACGAGCAGCATCAGTACCGAAATATTTTCCGGCGCTACTTTCTCCTCTTATCCTTTTCAATACCTCGGTGAAAAACTCAAGCGCAAGGACATGACCCATGAAATAAAAATATAGCGAAGCCCCTTCTTTTGTTCGTATGAGCGAGACAAGAACAACAAGAAAGGAGGGGCTCTCTCTCACCCGACCGTCAACCGAGCGATGACCTCCTTTCCCCCGCGCTGCACCTGCACCTCCACCTCCCCTCCGACACCGTCATCGAGGGCCGACTCCCACGGCAAGAAGGTGGTGATCGTCTCGCCCTTCATGCGCACCACGACGTCTCCCGGCTCCAGCACGCCGTCCGCGGGCCCCTTGGGGACTACCTGTCATTGGTTTGTTGGTGGTGTTGTTGCAACTGCTGTTAGAAGGTACTGAGCCAGAGACCGGAATGTCGGGGGGTTTCCAACGCAGAGGCAACAACAAAAAAACAAGAATAACCAACAGCACGGACGACAAGGCGGATGTTTGCAGGTGCTCAGCCAGAGACCAGAACAACTTTTTTTCATAACCCAAGACAACAACAACAACAACAGCACCTGGACCGACTGGCCGTACTTACCTCTCCCACGACGAGAACGCCTGTTTCTTCCGGAAACTCCTTTCGGAGGAGTGCCTCGGTGTCCGGCTTGAGCCCCAGGCGGCGGGCTTCGTCGAAGGCGGTGTGCCTCAGAACGGTCTGCAACGTGCCTCGTGTCACCTATGACGATGTTTTTCGTTAGGCGTTGTGTTAGATTTATCTGTTGAGTTTTGCGGGGGGCTGAATCTCAGGTCTTTTTTTGGGTTGTTTTATTAAAGTTCTTCGCCAATGCTTCGGCTGGAACTCGGGGTGGGAGTTTGGATTCTAGTTGGGGTTTGCGACAAGTCGTTAAATTTCGTCGTGTAATGGAAAATGCAGCTATAATAGCGCCCGTGGTTAAGAACCTGGGAGTCAAGAAACCCTGGCTAGTAATAAAAATCGAAGAACTTGGCCATAAGAACAGGTGCCCGTTCAAGAAGCCTACACTAAAGGTATATAGTACTAAATAATGGTTTCGCCTACCCCATAGAGACAAATAACCCCCGCCAAAAAATGAGGTTCTTACGTGCGGGCGCTACCTGTATGTCATGTGGTTTGTTCAATTTTGTGCAGTGCAGACACCGGCCGTCAGAGTCGGGAGGGGGAAGACTGAGTCGGGAGGGGGAAGACTACGCCCAGACATCAACCACAGCAAACGTCCAATCTGACAAAGACACGACAACCGCAGTGGCAAGCAAATGAGGCGCAATCTCCTGCTGACCTTCTCCCCTCGCTGGATGAGCTCAAGCGCCCTGACAATCTTGGTAAGCGGGAGGTAGAACGCCGCCGCTGTCTCCACACGTGCGCCGCAGTTCAGAGCAACCGCCTTGACACAGACAACAACCACACGCCGTAACACCGCAAGAGAAAACGAGAGACACAAGATGGAGACGGCGACGGACAATTGAAGTTAGGGAGAAAGAGCAGAGAGGTAAAGGGAGAGAGACAGGGAAGGGTAACCAGACAGACAAGGCAAGGAAGACAGCTCGAGCATTTGTGGACTTCAATGAATATTCGGTAGAAATAGCCTCAATCTTCGCGTGATTGTCAGCACTAAAACAAACACCAACTCTTCGTGAAAATCCGTTACAAACGATCCCTATCCGTTGTTGATATTTTCGTCGTCGTTGTTCTTGTTGATATTGTAATGTTGCTAATGCTGTTATTGCTGCCATTGCTGTTGTTGTTCTTGTTGTTGTTGCTGCTGCTGCTGCTGCTGTTGCTAAGGCTGTAATTTGCAACGTCGGCCCCTCGAGAGCGCCAGCAACCGCGCAGGACCACGACCCCACCAAAAAAAGAAAAGAAAAAAATAAACAGCACCAAAAAAAGGCACCTTCCCGTCCACGGTCAGGACCGGGCTCCCGCTGCTCCCTCCGCTCGTGGAGCTCGCCGCCGCCAGGTAGAAGGTGTTGAAGTCGCGGTAACCCCCGGTGTCGTACTCCGGTGCGGCGCGATCGAGCCTCGCCAGAATGCCGGGAAGGATGCTGTTGACACGCAAACACCGCACACACGTTATCATACGATACATCAAGAGTTCGCCTGTCTCCTGCAACAAAACCGGGTGTGCTACGCGTGTACAGCAAGTAGTTGGACGACCACCAGCTCTTGAACAACGTGGTTGCGTACAATGTATATATTTACAAAAAAATTAAACAAGGCGGACGCTCATTCGCATAAGTTGGTTTCGGCGCTGCAGTAAGCTCGAAGCATGACCCTTGCAGCGGCATCAGCACTGCTTGCTGTGCGGTGCATCGTCGTGAAGGGCGGGGGGAGGGGGTGTCGGTGTACCGGTGGTACGGGAACGGATGGCTAATGCTTTTCCTGTTCGTGCTGTGCCGTGGGCGACAAAGGCAACACCCTCCCTCCCTCTCTGCCTCTGTCTCTGTCTGTCTGTCTGTCTGTCTGTCTGTGTGTGTGTGTCTCTCTCTCTCTCTCTCTCTCTCTCTCTCTCTCCCTCCCCCGGACATTGTCTGGATGCTCCACAAACGGGGGGAGAAGAGCCGTGCCAACACGCTTCCTTCTTCGATCATCGCGTTCTTCTTGTTGACACAACACAACTAAAGGCAAGGCTGGAGACAGAACGAACGGGCTGGACATGGACTCCCTTGGTTTTCCTTGCCAGTCCCGTTTACGGTGGTTGCGGTGAGATCCTGGTCTCCCACGTAGCGCAGGGCGTTAAATGCTACGGATTTCCACTCTTCTCGGCAATATAGGGACTATTGTCGCGTTCGCGCTTGTATCCGAATGGCCATTGTCTTTTCGACCAAAGGCGAAAAACAGCGCCAGTACCCCGCATATCGCTTCGGAAGCAACAAAAGAAATCGGCCAGCATGCTCACTGCTGTAAACCAAGTTGGAATCCTCTTCACACCGCCCCTACCTGAGCTTCTCCCCGCTGTCGTTCCCAACCACTCGGATCTCCACCCCGACCTTAGCCCCGTCAGGGTTGAGCTCCACCTCGGCGACCTGTCTCAAGGGAAAGGGAGGGGTTCCGTGCATGCGCGGCGAACTGCAAGAGTGAGAAGTTGCATCCTTGTACATCACAGAATGATGAAAATAACGCTTGCAGAGAAGAGTAAAAAACAAGTTCGCGGCCGTGGGTAGTAGTGCTTGGGGGTGAAGGGGCGGTTGGTTCACTAGAGCTACTGTTGTTTCCAGGTGCACTCATTGTTGTTGTTGCTGCTGTTGTGTTTCACGTTAAAACCCGTTCCGGTCTCCCCTTAAGTCCCTTCCAATATCCGTGCCGGTCCAACTGACGCGCGCGCCTTCCGTGGCGACAGGCCAACTACCCGAAAAAGGAGTACACACCTACTCTCCAGACGCAAACACTAGCAGACCCCCAACAACGAACCGGCAGACGAGGATGCAGATCGAAAAAACTCATGTGCGGTGGCGCCCTTCCCATTCTCGTTCGAACGACCCTCGAGCAACGAAAACAGTCTATTCAGATGAATAGACTCACGAAACGAAACATGCCTCACCTCCATAAACTTGACCGCCTTGGGATCGAAGCGGTAGAAGCCGAAGTCGTGCACGGGGTCGTAGTAGATGGGCACAAGGTCCACCTCCTCCTTGTTCATGAAGACGGCGTCGACCATGGTCGGCCCTTTAGTTCGTGGTTCAATGGGGGCAGCAGTAGCAGCGGCCGCAGTAAGCATGGCGGGCGGGAGGGGCGGCAGCAGCGGCGGTTGCATTGTTGTCGTTGTCGTCTTCACATCAAAAACCGTTCCGGTCTCCGCTCGGTACCGTCTGATATCCGTACCGGTCCAACTGGCGTGGACGCCTTCCGTGGGGTTGTGTGGCGTCGCAGAATGAGCCGCGGAGTGATCTAGGTTGTCGCTTCCAGCGGGGTGTGATGTGGCGTCAGAAGCCAGCGGTACGGGTTGAGATAGGTCGTTTGCTGGAGCCGTTGGTTTGGCCAAACAACTCGCAGGTCGGGGATCGAATAAAACAGGTCCTCAACAATGGTTGCGCAAGTTCATTCGCTGCGTGGATCTTTGACCAGTCCCGTCAACCCCTTAACGTGGAATACCACACGTTGCCAATATCTAGCAGCATGGGCTGCTCTTCTTTTTTCTTCGGTTTTTCAAAATGGGATACGGGTATTTGGAGTAAAAAAATTGTAGCAACATCAGACCTTGCCAAACACTATGCAGCAAACAGCAGTACCGGAGTCACTCATATCACGAGCGATGTGGGAGAACAAAGCAGTACCTGTACGTCGGTATCAATGATATGACACACTACATGCGACAAGTAGTAAGCTGTATCAGTACATCTCGTAAAGCATCTAGGACAATCTGGCGATGAATTATTGGTAGCGCTTGGAAAAAAAACAAAACAAGTTCAGGCCTTTCTCTTGCGAAACTGTTGTCGAGAGACGACAGCGAGATGGATGGATTCACAAGTGGGTTGCTGCATTAGGTGTGCAGCAGCGCGGACGTGTTGCTCCAATGTACCGCAAGCCGGCTTCTCTTCCGTAAGCTGGGTGCTGGGTGTTGCCGAGACGGCGAGTGATGTGTGTGCCTGCGGTGCCGGTTTTCAAACGCGTCGCCCACACCGAAAGAACCATTCGCTCTCTTCACCCTTCCAGTCCCACCTAATTCAATGCCAACACCGAAGACCTACGAGGTGAAAATGAGACAATCGCGTCTTCCTGGAGGTGCTTCGGTAGACTCCGGAACCGTTTGTGGGACATTTTTCTAGAGCGGAGAAAATTCCCGAAGAACGCTTCTCGAGAACGTTTTCAGTGAAAGTCCGTTCATCTATGTACATACTCGAGTATTCCATATTCCTAGATTGGAACGTTTCCCGGATGCTAAGCTACAGGAGTGTTGGTATTGTGCCAAGGCACGCTTTTTGTCAGTGACCGAAAAAAGTCGTTGTGATGAGAGTCAGAGCGCCTCATGAAGCTCACTCCGTTTTCTGCTCAGCTCAAAAATATACTTGTGGCTGAGCCAAACGCCATTTTCAAATTTTCATATTTTTTGGGGAATGAGAATGCCGCCTCCGAATGCCTCCAAGACAGTCATGATGTTCCACATGGCCCGTCCGAGATCTAAACTACATTCAGGGTATTTCCACACGTTTTAGAGTCAGGGGGGAACTTGTGCGAAGTGTGGTGTGAATGTTGCTGAGCCGCAGCGCGTACCTGGAGACAACCGTCTCATGAGGAACAGATTTTGCTTCCTGATACACCGCCATTGTTTAAAAATAAGTGAGGTTTTGTCTTTTCAACAACCGCAGCTTGGAAATACCTTCAGGTTCTGGCGTGCAGGTGCGCACGTGCCGGCTATGTACAAGGGCGGAGGGGAGTCCGTGGTGGTAGTGTCACCTGGGTGCGCCAACGACCTCGCGGTGCATTCAAAAGAAGGATAGTACTTGGGTCCGAAGAGCCGAGATCTCTCCGACGGCGGGCTTGCATTTTTTTCAACCAATCGCAAAAAGTGTGCACCGTCACCTATAATAGTTTGCACGATCTCCTTCGGTATTCTTGCAACCACCCGTTGGATGTAATGGGCTCTTGCTTTCCAGATTGACGACGCCTCGTCGACAAGGTGGAAACTGTGTAGAGTACAGTAGTAATGCCACAAACCACGACCTCGGCCGGCTGGCGGCAAGGTTGTTCAAACCGCGGATACAGCAATCGCGGCAGTCCTTCGCACAGGCGGCTGCGGAGAAGTATTACCTCTGCTGCTGCCGCCCGTGGAACAAGCCTTTTGTTTTCCAGCGGCAGCCCAGGATCATACCCCACCCCCGCCCCTATCTACTGTTGTGACCCGCGAATTATTCCCCCTGGTTTCTTCTGGCGCCGCCACGCAGCAGCGTTACGCTTCGGAAATAGGCTAGTGTAGAGGTGAAACCAGGCCGTGGTTGCTGCAGGACCACAATCGAGAGACGTCATGTTTTTAATAGATATGACTTGCGTGCATGCGTTGGAGCATGAAAACAGCAATAAACCACCGAAAGGCACCACCGAGAGCACCGTTATTCTCGTGCTGCTGCTCGAGTGGTGTTGGCGCGCGCGCTGGACACGCAAGGACGAAAAAAATGCGAAGCAAAACCCGTACAACTACACGACAAGTGCACACCAGACCAAAGCCAAAACGACGTCACCCTTGCTGCCCTTGTTCAACCCGCCCGATGTATTTCAACAGAAACCATCTTGTTCTCGCCCCCGTCCCTCTGCGTTTAAACCAACGTTCGGAGATCAAGAACACACAACGACAGCTTTAGCGTTGTGTGGCCTAGCGCTCGTACCTGGCGTGACCACGTGCCGGTTGGTGAGGATGATGCCTCGAGCCTTGTCAACGACGAACCCGGTGGCCTTGCCATACCCCGCGGACTCCGAGTCAAACGGCCCCACGGACAACACTCGAACCACCACGATTGCAGGGACGACGCGCGCAAGCGACTCCTGCCACATCTCCGCATCGCCAGCGCTGCCGCTGCTGCCTGCACTCATGGTGCGATAGGCAGAGGAAGGGTGCAGTGTGCAGTGTACCGAGTACCGAGAGCAGTGTGATGCGGAGGGATGACAGACTGATGACCAAGGACCACGTAGATGCGGCGGAATCAAGCGCTGAAAGCACGGAGCCCCCTGAGTCGTCAAACAACAAATCACGCTACTGCTGTAGCTGCTTTGCGTGCTGTGTTTGCACCTCGACACTCGCTGTGTGTGTGGTGTGCAGCAAGGATGGCGACAACACTGAACAGGATTATCAACCACAAGGCTAAGTGGCATCTCATCGACGCCAGTGGACAGGTGAAGAATACTCAAGCTCTAGACTGCTCTGCTGTGTTTGATTGCCCACGGGGATCAAACACTGCTGCTGTGTGACCGCGTACTTATAGGATGCGCTCAGCGCAGGACTGAGGCCTTGCAGCAGCAGTCATTGGACTCCGTGTGTATCTTTGCCGTTGCCCTGCACTCCCGGTACATTGCTATTGGTGTTTGCCATGAACTTGCATACATGGCGAGCTTCCCGTGCGTGTAAGAAGGGCAAACCTTCTCTCTCCCAGCTCTCCAGGCGGGTTCGGTCCTTTACTCTTCGTGCTTAGACTAAACACGTGTACAGACTCGCATGATGCTTCCCCGCCATTGCTGTGTACGACGCCCTTCAAAAATTGGCGCCATTGCTGCATTCTACTGCATGGCGCGCGCTCGTTTTCTTTTCCTGGACGGGTATCTTCTAACCCTCGTCCTTACCTTCCGGCGTGCTGTTCTAAAAACACATGAATCATTTTTTAAGCAACGCTCCCCCTGCTGCTGAACAGATCGTAGGCCGCCTCGCGGCCCAGATCGCTCCCATCATCCGCGGGAAGCACAAGCCGACCTTCTGCCCGAACGACGACTGTGGCGATGTCGTTGTCGTGGTCAACGCCAATGCGGTGGAGTTCACAGGAAACAAGTGGCAAAAGAAGGTGCGGCTATATGATGGTACCAGTCTACATGTAGAGAACCCAGGAGGTCACATAGGAGGGGGAGGTACATGGTCGGCATCTCAGCGTGGCACCAGTGGAGTTATGCCGAATGCAAAACTGGAGGATGGGGGGGTAAAGCTAGCCCTTCTTTGCGAATCGATTCTTGTTCTCGGCAACGGCCGCCTGCGTACGATTCGATCGGCCGGGCCGTTGTTTTCTCAATGCGGAAATATTAAAATATTCCTGATATCCTCGGTGTGTCTGCTAGCTTGTCCTAATCGGCGGTAGCCCGCGTATCTCGCACGAATGAAGAGGACGGTGCCGCAGCTCGAAGGGATGCGCTGCCAATTGCAAAATGGCTTGTCGCAAGCAATAGTAGACCCCCCCCCCCCCCCCCCCCCCCGTGGCCTTCGAAAGCCCGTCTTCACAATCTCGGTATGGTGGTACGGGTTGCAACGTAGTTACGCCATACAATGACCGGGTACAATCACCAAAACCTCCATCCCGATCCCGCAGGTTTACAGATGGCATTCCGGTTTTCCTGGCGGGTTAAAGGAGCGGCCGGCAGACGACCAGCTAGTACGCAAGCCAGAAGAGGTACGGAATACTTCTGCTGCCGCCTGCTTTCCGGCTGGTATCAGCATCAATTCTTGATGCCATGACCGTTAGCGTATGTATCGCTTATTGGTGAAAACATATTTTTCGCGGTACGGAATGAGCGAGCGAACCGCGAGATATGTGGCTGGGGTGACGTTCTTCTTGAAAAAGTGGTGATCATCGTGGAACCTGTTCATCCCGCCCGCTACGAGTGCGCCAGCCGCCCCGTTGAGATCAAGCTTCGTTCCGCCTTCCTTGTCGCGTTTTGTTGCTCAATACAACCAACGGCACGGCAGCATTGTCCGCGTGCCCGTAGCGAACGATGCCTTCCCACGCCGCATTCGTAAGCCTTCAACGCACAGCGTTTGCACGGCCGGCGTCCGTGTGGCTGTAGCATACATTACCTTCACACGCCGCATTCATTGGTAAAAGCTTCAACGGTAGGCGTTTCGCACGACCGGCGGCTGTTGTGCGCGGTCAATGCGATAGCACCGCACTGTCCACGCCGCGCGCTCGCTTTTCTCTTGGTGTACTTTCTGGAAATGAAAACGTTCAGTAGGCCGGTTCTTATTGTATTGCTGAAATAATCATCTCTGCCATATGGGAGTGGCCAAGCTCGTTCTATGGCCGAGTAGTGAAAGGGCGGCGTTCCCCGCCGTGTTGGCTGCCTTCAGCTATCGTTTTTCAATCTCTCTCCCGTTCTCACTCGTCCTCTCATCCACCCCTCCTCCGGTTGCTGTCCAATGAAAAAAGATCCTGCGCCGGGCGGTGATGGGCATGCTGCCTAAGAACAGCCTCCGGAAGCGGATGGTGACAAAGCTGCTCATCTACCCGGGGCCCTCGCACCCCCACGACGACAGGCTGCCGACGGACTCCGCCCAGTCTCTCCTGGAGAAGAGCGATCGCAAGCTGATCGACAGACGGCCCACTGACATCAAGAAGTACCAGGACGACAACTACATCGAGTGGCCATAGCATGGCCCCTGATTGCGCTAGTGTAGTGGCCATAGCGTGGCCCTTGATGACTCTTGTCTAGCGGGCCGGCTGTGGTCTGTATGGGTGTGATGACGTTTTTTTTCCTGGCGCGAAACCCGCTCGGATATCTGTGCGTTTTTCCTAGGGTAGTTTATTTTGTTGAGGCGCGGGGATGATTTAGCCGGGGAGACGCTTAGTGGAGGTAATGAGGATTGCCGCGAAGACGCGGTTCGTTGAGTGACCACACCGCAACGACCGCCATCTGTCACATGTATGTGTGGCATATTTTGGAGTGTTCAAGTACAAGCAAGTGTGGAGAGTGTTGATTGCCTTTTTCATTTGGGGACCTGTGATCGGTCGAAGCAGTGATCCTTGGACGATGGCTGAGTTGTCAGGTTGGCCTACGGTAGTAGTGCAGCACCCCCACGCAGCATATTTTGTCGCTTTGTTCTTGGATGGAACAGCCGAATATTGCAGGGGGCAATAGTGAGGTGGGAGAGGGAGGAGGGGGGCGTTCACGAGCACATAGACCGCGAACGCTAACAAGTCCAAGCAAACAATCTCCACGTCGGTTTTCCGTCCGTTAGCAACTTTTGCTCGGGCGGGAGATGTCCGGGAGGGGGCAGGCATTTGCAGCTAGCTTTCTTCGGCCCCAAATATGACGCACTAACATCCAAACGATGCAGCATCAACCAGGCAACAACGCAGCCGTAGCACTTTGCAAGAGTGGAGATGTTTTTTGTGTACTTGCTGCTGCCGGCAGCTGATGTCTTTATGACGCATAGATGTTGCCGGCGATTATATCAGTGGATAATATGGGGCGCCTGCTTACTTTCACTTCATACAAATGTCATTCAGGCGACCACCGGACAATTTTCCGGCATTAACTAACAACAGGTGTGCGCCGGCAATGGACGGTTTCATGCTGTTTTTTCGGTGAAGAACATGCCCAAGGTTGACTTCCTCTGCACACGACAATGGTGCTTCCATGGGAACGTCTGTTGTCCTGAGCAAGTGCGCGACGCTTTCGTTCACCTGGAGCCTGTGCTACTTGGTGGGAACAATCGTGCTGCAGCGCAGAAAATATCATTCTCCTCAAAGAACACACGTACAAGGAAGTGCGTCATTCACATGTGGTGTATCCCTGTCACGCCGCCAACAGTCTCCTATTATACAAGCTGCTCATCTTCCGCGGTGAGGCCACACAGGGTGCGCTTTGTCTGGCGGGGAGAGACGAGAAGAAACCGAAAGAGAAAAAACGATAATAATGCGATAAGGCAATCAACACAACATATATAAGCCGCTCGCCAGGTGGCTTAGTCTAGCAGTTTACCTCGTAAACATAATTGTAGCAGGTTGTGATTTCTTTCTTTCTCTCTCTCTCTGCTCTGCTGGCTCCGTGTAGCGCATACAAAGTGAAAAGTGAAAAAGGGGGGGCTCCGCATAATCAAACCGCATTTATGACCGTATCCCTCACGGCTTCCCTGTATCGCATCATCATGCATCAGCTGAACTGAGCTGTGGAGACAAAGACACACACAGCCGACAGCAGGTTTAGCTTGCTCGTGGAGAATCTGCGCTCAGGCCCGTTTCAGCTACACTGGCTGACATTGTTCGTGGATTTTATTGCCGTGTACCATGCATCCGCCATTGCTACGACCACACCCACGCTGCCACGAGGTGAGGGCGACCCTTTGCCTTCGTTTCAAACAGCACCGCAGGTTCCAAATCACCCAGCTGATATTGACTCGTGCAGACTCTACCGCGCACTGCGTACAGGTGTAGTAGTGCCTAGGTGTTTGTTGCACGGGCGTGCTGTTGAGCCAGAGTCCAACCTGATGGAACTTAAACTTCCTTTGAGAGTCCACACCGAAGTGCGGGGTATGCTCGGTGGCACTGCGGTAGAGCCAGCGCACGAGCTGCTGACTGTACGACTAACTACATTAGGCCAAACCTGCTGTGCTGTTGGTGACTGCACAGACAGCAGCAGTTGTCACGGGCCGCCCCGCCAACCTCCTAGCGCAGTCCACCTGCCCAACGATTGGCAAGAGCAAGCACATATTTGCTGTTTAGTTACATACTGAAGTGGTCGATGTCATGCAGAATAGCCTACACTGCTGTACACTAAACAATCACTACACGTGGCTGCTGCCGTCTACGGCGGCAGTGTAGCTAACAACTCGCATGCAATACGCGTTTCGCTGCATTATTTGATTCGATGCGACGTTGCTCTGCGCATGGACGTTCCAGGATGGCCGTTCTAGACGCCGTGCCACGTTAGAGTTTCCATCACAATGTGCCCCCGGGCACAATTTGCATGCGTCACCACTCTTCGTGTACTCAGTAACGTAAGGGTGTGCATGAGCTCCTCGTTGCCGTCAATTCCCGCCAATTCCCGTCCAGGAGCCGTGGACCCAGTGTGTTCCGAGACTCCGCGGTCTGACGGCGTGAAATATGTCGTCGTGAGAGGGTGGCGCCTCGCCCAAATCCTCCCCCCGTCCCATCGTCACAAACACGTGTCGACGTGTCGACGTGTTTGCGCTGCAGCGTAGGATAAGGATGATGCAACGATGAGGAAGACTTCCACGTTCACAGAGCAGCAAGAATATGTGGTACATTGGCAGCTCTGGGCGAAGAAAGGCCGGCGGTGCTCGCGCCCTCCCCTTTTCCCTCATCGTCGGGCGCTGACTCAAAGAGCAACGAGTTGTTTACGATTTGTTTGCCTACGCCCCGTCTTCCCTCTCGCACCCCAACGATGTACTTGCTCACGGTATGGTTCCCTCGATGCCCTGCAAATGTCGGCATGACCCAGGAGGTGAAGGTGCTGATGGCGTGCCACGAGGAAAACCCATACGGAAAATTCTTCGGGGCGTGCAACGACCTCAAGCTCGCGCTCGATTCGTGCTTTGTGGTGAGCAGCAACAGTTGTAGATAGTCGGAGATGATCGAAAAAATTGAGAAAACAGCACTCACCCACACTCGCGCGCAAGTTTTTCGAGGGCCCCCGGGGACCTGGAAATTTGACGCTGTTTGTCCCAGGACGACGTATTGATGGTTTCCTTCGTTTGTCGGCCGGGTGGCGACGTCGGTGCCATACAGAGAAGCACACACGCACGCAAAGCTTGTTCGCGTTTGTCCTGCTATGTAAACGGACCATGTCTTGTCATTGGTGAGCTGTTTAGCGCGCTCGGTACCATTAACAGAAACCCACACCAGACGCACATGCATATGCATATGCATGCAAGAGCACATGCGCATGGCCTTGCGAAGCATTTTTCTGTTTCAGCTGTACTGACGCCTGTTCATTGGTGTTCATCGGTGTTCATTGGTCAAACGGTTAGCGCGGTCGATGATAACAAAATATACACACCCACAAGCCCATGCTTCGTCCACAAAGCTACCCCCTGCCCCCCCCCGTGCCTTCTACCCATCCGGCCCCTTCTCTCTGTCCTTCGTGCCGCACATGCAGATTGCACGTGTCTCAGAACCTCAAGCGTGCTGTATGGAAAAGGTTTTTGTATCCGGAATGTACCGTATCCGGTCTAGGTCAACGCCGTTTTTTTTTGGATTTTCCAGTCGTTGGCTTTCCCTACAAGGATTAATTCCTCTTTTGTGTTCAAGCATTGGGGCCATCATCCCCTCTCCGCCTCTACACATGTTTCGATTTCCATGCACGCAGCACGAAAAAGAGGAGAAGCGTCGGAAGAACATGGCCAAGGCCCGAAGTTTCGACGCCGGCTTTCAGAAGGAGCTCGAACTCAGGCGAAAGGAGCTGGATCAGGAACAACAGCAGGCGGGACGGTAGCGGCGGTGGTGGTGGTGTTGGCAGCAGCAGTAGCAGTAGTGGCAGCAGCAGCAGCAGCAGCAGCAGCAGCAGCAGCAGCAGCAGCAGCAGCAGCAGCACGAGCAGCAGCAGGAGGAGGAGGAGGAGGAGGAGGAGGAGGACAAAGGAGCTGCATAGACGAGGAACAGCCGCAGGAGGGACGGTAGCAGCAGCAGCAGCAGCAACAGCAACATCGTGTTTCGACGTGATCCCTCCCTGCCAAGGCTCTGGAATGAGGCCCAACAACCTGTCAACCTCGGTCGCCGTTTGCATCCTACGGATGACGTCAGCACATGACGACCTACTATTATTTTCCCGAGGCTCGCGTTTCTTTTCTTAGCATGGACTATGTAGATTTGGTGCGGGACGGGGTTCAGTTTCTTGTGCTCGAAGAAACTATCGCCTCAAGAAGTTGAAAAGGGGGGACTTCGGGGACGGTGCAGTGAGCTGTGTAGGCAAGCGCTCTCGTTTGTCAACTAGAAACTGATCGTTGAGGCTGTGATCCCCCACCCTCCACGACCGTCACAATGTCCATGGCTGCAGTGGCCCGGACGTGAGGATAGCAAAACGAAGGATGCGTTTTTTTCCTCTTGGCCTTCGTCGAGCATTGTTTAAGCCGGGGCAGAGGAAATCTGGCCTTGGGTTCGGCGGCATACGTACGCCGCGAGGCATGGAACAACCATTGTTCTTCCGCTTTTGCTGACGGTAGTGGGCGATTACGTCGCTTCCGGTGGGCTTCTCTGAGTCCAATTCACGTGTTCCGCGGTGGCAATGGATAGCACGTTGACGCAAGTACGTCGAATCCGAAATTTTTGTAGAAGGGTGCGGTAACCACGCAACAGCTGTTGATGACGCGGTGACATTTTCCTTTGTTCTTGGTTGCCCTGCAGATTGAGCATGAACGACGTTCCACCCATCAGTTCACAATTCATCCCCCAGCAGCATGTTGGCACGTGTTTCACCTACGATAGTGTTCTGTTGTCGTACAGCAGTGGCCCCGGCGGCATGCCGATGGCTTGAGCGTCTCGACTAGCCCGGGTGCTCCCATTCGTTGGAAGTTCGCACTGAACATTGCCAAGCATCAGCAAGCCTGCTGCAGAACGCATTGCCGTCGGTAAGGCAAGGGTTGTTGCAGAGAATGGATGCACCGCTTGCGAGACGCCCATCCCATCCCGCCTTTTATGCCCTCGTTGCATAGGTATGCCGCACAAGAAGAAGGAGTGTCACGGAGTCTGACTGCTGCGGTACGCGGTTCTCAAACCGCTCACACACGGAAAGGGCGACGACCGTCCACGAACACATGTACCTTACTCGAAGAAATTCGGACTAGCTGATAAGTCGGTGGAAGTCTTCCAATTCAAGTCTTCCAAAGAGCGGCAACTCATGCCAACGACGTAATCCTCGCCTGGAAGTCGCGAGAGTGGAAGTTCGAAGAAATTCGGACTAGCTGATAAGTCGGTGGAAGTCTTCCAATTCAAGTCTTCCAAAGAGCGGCAACTCATGCCAACGACGTAATCCTCGCCTGGAAGTCGCGAGAGTGGAAGTTCGAAGAAATTCGGACTAGCTGATAAGTCGGTGGAAGTCTTCCAATTCAAGTCTTCCAAAGAGCGGCAACTCATGCCAACGACGAATCCTCGCCTGGAAGTCGCGAGAGTGGAAGTGTATACAACGTTGGCAACCGAGGACCTATGTACATAGGTCTGAAGATTAACGTGCTGTCCGATGATTCTGAGATGGCGGCAGCACAAACAGCCTCAGAGTATGTGAGGTAGCATACGAAACGCCCTCACCCACGGTGCGCTGCTGTGGAGACACGCGGGACGATAAAGGGAGAGAGCATAACCAATCGGGTAGACCGAGACCACTGTAGTTCTGCCGTCCCGAGCGCGCCGCTCAAGAACTGAATCGAACAAGCAGCGAGGCGTCTCATGAGCCGGGCACCTGGGCCAAGGCACTACGTGAACATCAGTCACCGTCGGGGCCACAAACATTTTCGGCAAAGGTCCGCAAGACGTTCTCAGCTCTGCCACCTATCAAGACCCTCTCGAAACGGTAGGACAATAAAGAGTCGGCCATGCCTTCCTCGCGCCGCCCTTCTCACCAAGGCGCCCAGCCAACTCCAGCGATCACACCCGTTGATCTCTGCCGGCAACCGCTACCTGCCACACAAAAGGTCTGTACCCCACGGCGGAAGCACCGTCGAAGCAAAAAACAGGGTGCCCAAACCAAGCACCTACCTCTCGCTGTCGCGCTCCCACCGTCGCCCCTTCTCCGCATATCTCCATGCCGACCCACAAAAACCCTACACCACGCGGAAGCTCGCTAAAGTTCCAGCATCGCGCGCGAACGAAGTAACCCTAATCCTCATTTTCTGTTCCCAACATCACAAGGAAATCGCGGTATTCCACCATCAAAGAGGTAAAAACCCACTGCTCAAACATCCCGAAAGCCCGCTATTTTTCCAACACTACCACAAGGAAACCTCGGCCTTCCAAATTCAAAAACAAAAAACGCAAGCTCACTGTTCCAACATCACAAGGAAGCTCGCTGTTCCCCAGCCCCATCCCCTTCCTTCATGGCTTTCGCTAGCTCCGCCTCCAACGCCTTCTTCACCGCCGCCTCCGCGCCCTCGTCCACAAACATGAAGCGGGGCGAGCTCGGGTCCACGGTAGCCACCTCTACGGGCACGCCCTTCCCCATCGTCGAGCTCAAGTGAACCTGTTTTCGGGGAGGAAGGGGGGGGCGACGTTGGGGGGGGGGGGGG